GGTGGGGGTTTACCTTCCCCCCCCCCCCCCCCCCTCCTCTGACCCCCAATGCCTGCTGAATTCTTGATGCCCCTGATGGTGATACGCGCACTGGGCTCACTTGCAGGCGGGCATTATGTCCCCTCCCCAAAGTCAAACACCCCGGAGCGAGAAACTCTGCAATCGTTTTTGGAGCAATTTTGCAACATTGAGTAAATTCAAGATGTCATATCAAGCCTTGCGTGCCTAGACCTAGGCAGGAACGGCAGCGCCGTCGCCTCGGGGATCACTGCCCGCTGCCCACACCTGTGTGCATTGCCAGGATATACGAAGGAAAGTTAGGAGGACATTTTGCGACATTAGCCAATTGATCCTTTTGCATGAGCATCTAAAGCGTGACATACCCGACGTGTTGTGCCGTCGGACGCAGCTTGCATCTCCTGCGAAAAGAGGAAAACAAAGAGTGGGGGGGTAGAGAGAAATCAGCAGACGTGGCAAAGTAGACACGGCATGGTAAACGCAGCTCCCCTGCTTTGGATGGAACGAAGAAAGACAACTATAGCAAGTGCAGGGCACAAACCTGGCGGATGACTTGACCGCGTCCAAAGCGAGAACGATCGTAGCCAGTCAAGAGTTCTACTTCATGGCCCATGGCCGCAAGTTCAGCCTGCACTTGCGCCGAGATGCCTTCCTCCAACGCCACTCCGCCAGCAGCGCCTTCGTGGCCCGGTCCGACACAAAAGCGAGCTAAAACGCAAATAAGAGATGTTTGTCATGACGCAGATAAAACCGCCAAGCTCATGTCCCACAAATGAGTCTATGCGGCCCATTGTTATAGAACACAATTGCAAGCCACGTACGCGCATCCAAGGCGGCTTGCGGGGAGAGCCCGTGCTGAATGAGGTTCAACAACACCTGGACGTGGCCTTGCGGTCTTGTGGCATCGAAAGAAATCAAAAAGAACAACAAGACGCGTTGTCAGGGCTTGAACCGCGGAGGTCAGGCGCAAATGGTGGTTATCGTGAGCCGCTATGAGACAAAGGCACAGTGACACTTACTGCATAAAGCCGCCCATAACGCCAAAGGTCATGTAAAGCTCGCCCGAGTCGGCGTTTGTGACCAAGCCCGGGATGATGGTGTGGTACGGTCGCTTTCTGGGGCCAATGCAGTTGGGGTGGCCTGTGCAGAGCGACGATCAGCACGTCCTGAACGCAAGGAAGGCTACACAATGCCAGGCAAGCATACCAGATTGAAGAACAAAATTGGCGCCTCGATTTTGGAGCGTAAAGCCGCAACCAGTGGGCACGAGGCAAGATCCAAACCCCATGTAATTGGAATTGATAAAGGAACATGCATTGCCCGCCTTGTCCGTCACCTACGACCACGCACACAAGCTGGTGAGAAAGTTTGTCCGAGTCCATCACGGAGAGCGCTTGCCAAGCAGAACTGGATTCGCTCGACGAGCACCATTATTCCTACCGTGAGCAAGACCGTGTCACAAGAATTGACAGGGGAACCGCGATCGGGCTCGGCCATGGCCACGTCAGGCCGGATGAGCTTGGCACGCTGAGCAGCATATGACTCGGACAGGAGCTCTGCGATCGGGACGGCGCTCACGGCTGGATCGGCGACGTAAAAGGTGGTGTCAGCAAAGGCCAAGCGAACGGCTTCAATAACAAAATGCAGATACTGTGTCGAGTTGATCTCAAGGGATTCAAAACCCGGAATGTGCTCAAGAATATTGAGAGCCAGAAGCGCGGTCAAGCCTTGGCCGTTGGGCGGCATCTCCCATAGTCGCACTCCAGCGTAATCAACGTAAAGAGGGTCATCCAAGGTGCTCCGGTGTTGTTCAAGGTCTTCCAGGGTCAAGATCCCACCATGCTCTTGCACACAGTCGACGATGGCTTGAGCAATACGGCCCTGATAGAAGCCACTTTTGCCTTTGCTGGCAAGCAGTTCAAAGGTGGCGGCCAGTTCGGGCATGACCATTACCTGACCTTCGGCGGGAGGCTGGCCTTGTAGGAGCATGGCCTGGCCACCCGGGTTGGCCGAGCTTTGCAAAGCACTGGCTTGAGCTCCCGCCCAGCTTCGAGCAGCAACATGATGGATGGGGGCACCTAGAGAGAGTCGTGAAGAGAGCACAGGATGATGTTGAGTGACAAGCACTTGGGTGCTCAGAAGGCTGGATACGAAGCGGGCGGGAGTCGCACGGGGTGGGTATCAAGATGTGTGGCTGGGAACGTACCCTGGCGGGCTAGATCGATGGCTGGTTGAAGCACCTGCTGCATGGTCATGGTACCAAAGTGCTCGATGGTATCGACCCAGCCGGCCGCCGCTCCGGGCACGGTGACGGTGAGAGCATGGTCCCAGGGGAGCTTATCACCAGCGATGCCGCTGGCTCGAACAGCCTCCAGGGTCGTGTTGGCTGAAGTGCGTCCGGATCCATTGAGACCATGCACCTTTTTGGTGGTGGCATCGAAATAGAGACAGAAACAGTCGCCTCCAATGCCGGTAGAACTGTAGGAAGCGGCACCAGCCTCTCCAAAGTGAGACCAGCCTCGAGAAAGTCATGACTGGTGTGGGCACCAACCGGAACATACCAGGGTTCCGTGACGTTGAGGGCTGCCGCCATGGCAACAGCCGCGTCGGCGGCATTGCCACCTATTGAGTTTTTTTATGTTTTTTTCGATCGGTCAAAGCCAAAAGAACGGAATCGCGGCGGCAAAGTCAGCGGAAGACCAGGCTTGTGCTGTGCCATCTGATCTGGCCGACTCGCCGTCTGAGAGGTGCACGACTTACCTTGGGCTAGAATCCTGCAGCCGATGGGCGACGGGCATGAAGATAATCAGGTTACGGGGCAAAGCATTACACTGTGAGGTGGATCACACGTGCTGCATAAACGCACGAGCCACGCTGTTCAGAGGCTAGCTCACCTTTGCCCGATGCGATTGGCCAGAGGCTGGGTGGAAGCCACCATGCCATCCAGGCTGAGCGCCGTCGAGCGCCGACTGTTAAAGTTCTCCATGTTTTTTTCCCAACTGTCGGTCAGGCCAATCTCACAGCCGTTGGCCCTTCTCGTGTACAAATTGAGCTGCTGGGTCACCCAGTCAGTGCGATCTCAACTCTGCCCGTGCCACAACACCGACCCGCAAAGAGAAACAGTATGTACAGAGGCAGACGGAGCTGGAGGAGACAGAAACCGAGACGGAGACATGAGACAATAGATGAGACGGTAGCAGCGACAAATACATCAAAAGGTCAAGCCACAAGCCACGACCAGCCCGTCAAGGCAGTCAGACCCTGCGCTGTGACCCGAGTGTCGTGCCGCCACTTCCGAGCGCGCCAGCAGACCAGACCGTCAAGATCGCCTTTTTTTCTCTGACAAATGTCAGACAATTTGTCAAATTTTATGCTGACATTATTGCGGTCGTCGGCGGTTGCAGAAGATGCTCGAAGAAACGAAGAAACGCACAGAGAGACAGAGAGACAGAGACAGAGAAGAGACAGAAAAGAGAGACCGACACAGACACAGACACAGATAGCGACAGAGACACAGACACACAGACACGCAGATACAAACAGAGAAGAGATCAGACACAGATCCATATCAGAGATAAGAGGGATGAAGAGCCAGAGTCAGAGATGGAAACGGTCGTTTGAGTCAAAGAAATTTAAAGAAGAGCGCGAGCAAACGTCAGACAAAGCGAGACACTGCATTTGTGTAAAATGGCGCTGCCGCTGTGTTCCGCTTCAGCGCATTTTTCATTTTCGCTCATACACACACACCACACACATACACTCTCTCTCTTTTTCTTTCTCTCTCTCACTCTCACTCTCTCTCGTGGTGCAAGGCTGGGTACTTGCGCTCTGGGCTGGTTGCTGGGCTGTTCCCTGCTGGGTCACGCTGCTTTTTCTTTCGAGGTACAAGCTGAGTGGCGCAGTGTCCCAAAACAACGTAGACACAGGATAGCACGCACGCACGCACGCACGGGTCAAGTCGTACCGGCTCAGCGGAACGAGGCGGTTCTCCTGCCCGTGCTCAACCCCCGACGACCGGCAGCCTCTTGTGTAGCTGTGCATTTTCTTCTTCTCTCCCTTGCGGCTTGCCAGCTTGGCCTGCACTGCCGAATTCGCCCCGCCGTGCTTGCAGGCTCTGCCATTTGCCTGACACTTTGGCATTGTCACGTTTTGTACCGCTGCACCCGCGACCATGACGCGATGCATGGTGGTCAAACGTCGGTATCGTCGCCTACCTGCTGAATTTCAGGACCTACAAGCCAAGTCGCTCGACCATGAGGCAGCCCAACTGCACCGTCGCTCCATCTACAACTGGGACCCAGCCATCTTCAACCTGCTGCCCGTGGAGTACATTGCTCTGCGCCGCCGCCTCCGGCCTCACCCCGAACTCTACGCCGACCTGACCCTCGCCCGCCAACGCATGCATCAGCACCGGTCTGCCCAGCGACGCCGTCGCCACCTTCGCCGCCTGCGCCACCCCCGCCTGCTCCGCCGCTAGCCGCGAACGGGCATCCGGCCTGCCCGATGGGCCAAGCAAGCTGCAAACAGACTTGCCGCAAAGCTTTAAAAAAATGAAAAAAAAAATAAAAAAGTAGAATAAGGGATTGACACCCACACCCGAAAACCCGATTCAGGGCTCTTGCGCACGGCCCGAGCCGTGGAGGCCCGTCTTTTTATCCGCTTTGCCCCCTCTCAGAAAAACTCGAATTGACCATTGATTTTCATTTTACAATCGCTTTTTTGTTTTGACTGAGGGCAGTTCCATGTTTTGCTGGCCCTGTCGTTTGCAAGGGGGATGCCGTCACGAAAAGGACGGGCCCGTGACCTTTTTGGTGTCTTGCACCGGACGCAAACCCGAGCCGCGGTGACTGCCGGCTGAGCGGGGCAATATGAAGGAGGAGGAGGTGTCACCCACTTTGCCAACCTTGCACACGTGCATCCACCTGTCGCCGGAAGTTGCATTTCTCCTCGACATGTTCACGAGTCTATACTTCGAGACCCACCCCAACCGAGTACTGCGGACTCAATGGTGCCCATTTTCTCATGCACCTGGCCACGGTCCAGACACACGAGCCTCTGCCACGAGCCGACGGCGACCAAAACATTTTCCATTTTTCGGCTTTTTTTCGTTTTTTCGTTTTTCATTCGTTTTGTTTTGAAACTCCTTTGCATTGGCTTTTACAAGGCATTGATGCGGTATTTATGGAGATTATTGCAGTTTTATTAATATCTCCAAGCCGAGTTTATGTACTATAAATGTACGTTTGAGCGTCATCGGAGTACTAATTTTTTCGTACTGACATGTGAACATGATGATGATGATGACTCCGTGTCCGTGTCCTCGTGAGATGTGAGGTCCAGTCTTGCGAGCAACGTCTGCGTTGATTTCATTGGGACGAGGCGGCCGCATTGCGGCTGACGTAACCATTCGAGAGCATCACACGAGCTAGCAAAGGTTGCGCCCTACCACACCAGCGCTCGCTTTGAAGGACTTGAAAGCAGGAGCATGGCGCACTGCAGCAGCTCGTTGTGCTGATGAGTATGGAGTCTTTCTCATAAAACACGTCAACATAGGGTTCACCCCCTTCATCCCCTCATTCCCTGCGGCGCAAGCACGATGAGCACGAAGGCAAAATCAAGTGGTTAGTTTTGCATTTTTTTTTCATCCTCTGTCTCGCCGCCAATCACTGGTCCCAACCCCAGCACGATAGTCACGACATTCGACCGGCGTGCCCGGCACTTCCAGCATGAACCCGGGCGAGGCTCACATGGACATCCTTTCAACGGCCCAGCCACAGGAGCAAATATATTTAGCGCCAAACTTCTTCGGGCATTACCCCCTCCCCTTGCACACTCAACAGGACCAGGCACATCAAGCCCCCTACAGCTCGGGGACCCCGCACCATGGCGCAAGCCATTGTCTGCCACCGATCACCCATCAAGCTGGTTTCTACAGCAACCCCAACATTCCAACATCGTGCCCACCATTCGTTCAGCCCTTTTGGCCCGCCCACGTTGCTGCTTCGAGCATCGCGACGCAGGCGTTGCCTGCTGTTTCCATTTCAGTTGCGCAATCTCATCCATTTCTGAGCCCAGCTGACGAGAATGTGTTCCCACTCTCCCTACCAAACCCACCAGGATTCGGGCCTTTTGCGACGTCAGACATGGCTGCCTCGCCAACCTTCGTGTCTGAAAGCTTCCTCCCACTTCGAGCCGAGGAAGCATTGACCAGCCCTCACATCCCGCATGCAGCGCAGGCCTCGGGCCCGAGTGACCTGACTTCTGGCCCCGTCCGTGTGTCACCCACGGTTGAACAAGATGCAGCCCAGCCGCCCACCCCCGACATGCTCTCATCCACAACTGGGCCGGATTCCCGCATGCCCTTATCCAACCAACCTCAATCAACGCCACCGCTTCAGACTGTGGCCGGGCCCAGGCCATTGCGCCTCCCCCTACCAGCAGATTTGAAAAAGTTTGAAGGACCCATACCACGACTTCACCGGCTGCGCAATCCTCCAAAGTACCGATGGGACGAGACCGTGCTCAAGTTTACAGGTCCAGAACGAGAAGATATGCTTGCGCTCCTTGCTGGCCGAGAGACTGCTGATCATCAAGAAATTTTTCAAGACTATAAAGCTGCATCACGTCGTGCCGTGTGGCGTATGCATGGACGCAAATGCCGCACCAAAGCCAGGGCCACTTCTTTACAAGGCACCTCACAGGATCCTGTTAATCCTGCTTGATCGAGTTCTTAGAGTTTGCCTGTTGATCCTGCTTGAACGAGTTCTTCGAGTTTGCCTGTTGATCCTGCTTGAACGAGTTTTTAGAGTTTGTCTCATAAATCGAGTTATTTATGCTGCTTTTCATGAAACCTGGCTTGTAAATGGCACTGCTCGGTCGAGGTAGAGCTGACAGACGCTCGAGTTGTCCGTGGAAGGTAAACTGACGCATTGACGAGAGATGCATACTCGCTTGAGAATTCTTGCCACCATGGGCAACGACACAGCCAACACCACAACGCATGCACTCCCAGTCAAGAACCAAATGGCGAGTCAAACCAGTTGACAAACAATCCAGGAATACAAGGGCTGGGCCCCTCCTGCATCGACTGCCAGACTAAGCGTGGCCTGGCCCTACAACTTGAAAGTTGGGCCACTGACCAGTTGCCTGAACCTTAGAAAGAATGTCCAAGACTTGCAGCAGCACGTATGCATCCAGGGCTGAGGCAAATCGACGCGCTCAGTGAGAAAAGGGGAGCAAGCGAGAGGGTCAGGAAAAGAGTGGTGGCAGATGGTACAACACTGCCCAAAATGAGCAACTCACCAGCATAGTGCAAACTCTCTGGCCGGAGCGGACGTCGTTCCCAATCGGCCAGCTGTTCATGCTTGGCCAAAGATACGCCAACCAAGCCTGATCGCCAGCGCGTACCCAGACGTGAGCTCGACGGAACGGCAATCTCGGGTAGATGCGTCCGCGCGCATTCGAGGCAATTCACCTTGGACAAGATCAGCCAAGGATATACGGGGCGAACTGCCCTGCCACTTGTCGGGATATGTAGGAGGTACAGGTATGGTCTGCTGAAGCTGTGCTACCGTATCCATCACATCAAGGACACGCTGCCCGACCAATTCACCATCGACACCTGCGCTCTTGAGCTGATCACGATCGCTCATGACGCCAAAGCCTAAGTCAACGAGAGGTTGCACAAATGCACGTTCAGGACAGCCAGCTCTATCTCAATGCGTGCAGGTTGTGCAGGGTGGCATACAACCCCGACAGGACGAAATGCGCACACATCAGTTGACGCACCGATGATAGGTGTAAGCTGCAAGAGCCGAGTGGCAAAGGCACAAAAGTCAAAAACTCCGGGCTCGGCGCACGCGTCAATGACATATACGGCCGACTTGGTGGCCAGCTGCATGATGCCCAGACGCCTATTCCGCCCGACATGGTGCGGTGAGAAGCCGAGCTGCTTCAAGCAAAAGAAAAAGAAGGAAGCATTCAGAGGTGCGAAGACTGCGTACGTGTCATCGTAGAGAGAAACCGTGCCTGCCCACTCGCAATCAAAGCTGATGGGACGTTGCATCGCGGCGTCTGCTTTAACATCGGCGAGCACTGCTGCAGCTTGCTCTTCTGTGCCCACGAAAATCGGCTCCTGCACAACAGAGTATCAGTTGAACGTGTATACAGCGCCTCGCGAGTCAGACAGCCCGCACAGACCTTATCGAGGGGCAGGAGAAAATGAGTTGTGTCTTGGCGGGCGCGCCAGCTGGAATAAGGCTCGACGGGGATCTCATAAGGATTGATCACGTTGCTTTTCTTTGCCGTCACTTGCACTGAGCGCAGAAATTTAGCCATGCGCTGTCGAGGCACATGAACAGGTAAGCCAATTGATTTGAACGCAAAAGAAAGCCATCCATGCCTGACATCCACGGTCATGAGAGCCTGAGGAAGGGGGTCTAGCATAAGGTTGTTGACAAACCCAGATAAGTTCTGCAATGCCCAGTGCCGTGTCGTTGCTCTTGCGATACTCCTTGAGCAGATAGCGAAAGGAGGCATTGTCGGCATTGTCAACCAAGAAACTTGCGTTGCGCACATTTGCTCGCGGAAACTTTTTGATGAGCTTGAGGGCTTCCGATGAGAACTTTCGGAGATCCTGAGCACCAAAAGTAGCGAGCAAGACTGTGAGAGCATCGCTGGAAAAGAACGGGAAAACTGTTGCTTCTCAAGTGAACTTGGGTCGCTGACTCGAGAATGTCAAACGCCACTAGTAAAAAGGTACCTTGATGGGCTGCTGTGTTGCACAGGGGAGCTTGCGATCGGGGCGGAGCTGCTCGAAGATGGTTTGCAAGTTTTTGTCTTTTGTCGCGAAAATGTGGTCCCAAAGAGTGACAAGAAAACTTTGCAATTCTGCGTTATCCAAAGTTGTTGCCACCTTTGAGGCTAATTTGAGTTCTTGTAAGCATGTGAGGAGGAGCAGAATCTAGCGAGTCGGGGATGCAAACAGCATGTGAAGATGAGGGCGAACAAGGGTGATGGAAAAGAAAAAAAAAACCAAAACCTATAGTGGTGGAGGTTCACCTGTTTAATCTCGTGCACTGGAAGTCGGTCAAGGAGATTGGCATGCAAAAGGGCTCGAACATTCGCACAAAAAATGGGCGCCGGGGTGGCATCACTCCACAGATTTGAGGTGACTGCGAGCACAAAGTGATCAGTGAAATCCATCTGGAAAGACGCGAACGAGAGACCCGGGCGGATCGACGGTACGCACTGTGATCATAGAGGGCATCAGGCTCAGTCAAAGCAACGGCACCAGCAACTTTTTCCAGAAGATGGGCGCCAAAAGAACGCCACTCCCGCAGAAGCTAATCGCATGATCAGCGGTGAGCATCCGGACGCGAGATCAGGATCGGTGTTGGAAGGGACAAGAACACAAACGCGAGCAGGCAATGACGATGCGAGAGAAAAGTCCCGAGCACGGACCAGAGGCACGGCTTCAATAAGCATGGCAGGCATGGCGCGTCCAAGGAAGCCTTGCTGACGATACAATAGCTCCAAAAGTTTCTTGTGAGAAGTTTTGCAACAAAAGGTCGGATGACGGCGAGAAGCACAAGAGCCGGCGGGTGAAAGCCACATGAGAAAAGTCGCCAAAGTTTTGAAGTCTCAAAATGGTGTCATGGGCGGCGGCATGGACGGCAGTAGGCCCTCTACAAGCTGACAGACCTTGAAGAAGTAATGCGTCAATTCGGACTCGCCCAAAACACTGTGCAGCTGAGGTAGCCAACACGCCAAGGACCGAACCGGCAGCCATGGGGGGGATGAGCACGAGGCAGCCCATACAGAAAGATGAAATGAGGAGGAGTGTGGGGCGGGTGCTCACCTTGACGAGAAAAGCCTTTCCCAGGTTTTGAGGCACAGCGGGGGCATCCCGATGCCAAGTGAGACTGGTCAGATCAGCCCGATCAGGCTGATACCAAAACAGCAGCACGTTCAACAGCCTGGCAGCAGCCGCATCAGCCAAATGCTCGGGTGACTGTTTTACGTGTTCTTGCCCAGACTTATCCCCCTCACCGCACACGGCCGAAGCCTGCTCCGCCGCCTGCAGCGCCGCGCGGGTCTCCTCGGCCGTGCGGGTCATCACTTCGACCTCGGTGGGCGTCGACATGATGAGCGTGTGACGGGGAACGGCTGTAAAATGCTGACAATTCAATCTACGAACACAGTCACGATAACCAACAGTGTTGTTAGAGCTCTGTTGTTATTGCGCAACGTTATGTGATGTCATCCCGTGTCATGGCTAGCACAGCATTATTAATGCATGACTAAGACGAGTTTATGAAGAAAATATGAATCTCAACCTTGTACTACCTTGAGAATTTCAGGTAGTTGTTGCTGTATAAAAGCTAGTTTGTGCAGGTAGATTGGTTTGGCACTCCACCAAGCGAGTGAGATCGCGAACCATATGGCGGCGCGCAAATGGCGGCGCAAAGGGCGACGATGGCTGCCTCTCACACAGTGCCACAGTGCCAGCTTCAACCGTGTGAACCGTCAACTGTGCGGCTGCAGATACATGCTGGAAATGGAATGTGAAGTGATTGCAGCCTCCAAAAACCAAACACGCGCCCAGAATGGGTGATACGCCCGCTGTCGTCCCTGATCTCGACCCACGCAATCAGATTCCGATCTCCCGCAGAGCTCTCTCTCTCTCTCTCTCTCTCTCTCTCTCTCTCACACTCGCTCTTTCTCTCTCACACACACACTCTCTCTCTCTCTCTCTCTCGCTCTCGGTTTGTTGTAGTGATGTTTTCGCATGTTGCTGCGTTGTGTGAGTTCTTGTCTATATCAACACGACATGTTGTCGTTGGCAGTGATCACACACAGTGTTTCCCTACCAACACCGGGTCAAGTTATCGTAGCAAAAACATCAGTTATTGTCGCTTCCTCGTGTGCACATTGGCATTTTTTTGTCACCATCAGGTAGATGTGGTCGCGCCGTCCTCCAGACTCCTGGGACCCTCCTGGGCATCCAGTGGCATCCAGTGGGGCATCCAGTGGCAGCGGCTCTACTCTGTCCTCTTCCTCCTCTTCCTCTTCCTCTTCCTTTCCCTTCCTCTTCCTCTTTCTGTTTGGCTCTGTGTTTTGGAGCGAGTGGGGGATCGCGTCGCCGTTGTGGGCATGTGATCCTTTGGCGTTGTACCGCCACGTTGGCACGCCCCCTTGGCTTTCGCAGCGCACGACTGCCGATCGACATGCCCTGCTCTCCTCTTGCCTTTTCCTAAAACCCAACCCCTTGTGTATACCCACATACCACTCGTTCCGATTGTTCACGAGCGACTGAAGCCTTACCGCGCATCTGTCTGTGCTTCGACCGCCATCAGGCCTTTGAAGCGCATCCAATCGCCGCCGCGCCACGATGGAGTCCAAACAATTGCCCTTGGGCCAACACTATGGTGTGGATCCCGACACCGTGGTACGTTCCTTGCCCCGTGCACTGCTGTGCAAAATCTTGGCCTACTCTCATTGTGCTGCGCATGTGTATATGATATTTATACCACCACCTCCGTGCCTCTTGCCTTCTCGCGCTTACCTTGCCGTCCACGTCACGTTCCAGCTTGACATCAAGACCACGCCTGATGGCATCGCGTCGATCAAGCCCGTTACGGTCATGGAACGCTTCAAAGAAACTGTCGAAGTACGCTGCTCGTCATTGGCCGTTTTGACCCGTCTGCCAACACCCGGCTTCTCACCCACCCCCCCTGATGGCTTTTTTCACAGCGCTTTGGCGATCGCGATGCGCTCGCTGTAAAGCGCGATGGATACTGGCACACCTGGACCTACCGCGACTACCACCGCGACATTATCACCGCCGCCAAGGCCTTTATCCATTTTGGCCTTGATCGCCACCACTCTGGTCAGTCGTTGCCTCCCGATCTCGGCCGTCGCCAGCTTGCGTGTTCAGTCCCACATCCTACAATAGTTATACCCTCACGCTGAACTGGCCCTTGCCCACAGTTGGTATCATTGGCTTCAACTCACCCGAGTGGTTCATCGCCGATCTTGGTGCCGTCTTCGCCGGTGGTTTCGCCTCTGGCATCTGTACGTACCCCAACCCACCCTTTCCCACCTCTCGCCCGGATGAACCAACGCCGTGCTGACTGCGCTTATCCGCGTTAGACACCACCAATGGACCCGAGAGCCTGCAGTATGTGGCTGACCACTCCCGCAGCCAGTTTCTCTTTGTGGAAGACCGCAAGCAGCTCGCCAAGATCAAGGAGGTGTGACACGTGATTCGACGCCTTGGATGTTTTTGTGACTCTTCCTTTGCTTACAATTGGTCTGCGTTTCTTTTTGCAGGTTCAGGATCAACTGCCCACTGTCAAATTGGTGGTCATGTGGGGTGAGCCTGTTGAGGAGAAGGATCGCAAAGACCTCAAGATCAAGGTCATTGGCTGGGACGAGTTTATGCGCGGTGGCCGAGGTAGGTTGCGCCCTCGCCTTTCTCTCCACCTCGATCGGTGGTGAATTTGTCAAACACTTGCATCTGACCCAATGACTGTGGCGTAGATGTGGCGGAGCACGAAGTGCACAACCGCATGAAGGTGCAGTCTCCAGGCGAGTGCTGCACCCTCATCTACACCAGTGGCACCACAGGTACCCCCAAGGCCGTGATGATGACACACGACAACATCACTTGGACTGCCAAGGCACTCTCCACGCACGCCCGTCTGGATGATCATCGTCAGGAGCACATCATCTCCTACCTTCCCCTCTCCCACATTGCCGCCCAAATCCTGGACATGCATGCACCCATTCTGATGGGGGCCAAGGTCTGGTTTGCTCAACCGGACGCCCTCAAGGGCAGCCTGCCCACCACCTTGGCTGAAGTGCGCCCTACCATCTTCCTGGGGTACGTCGGCAGCATCTGCGCACAGCAACCCCTCGCATGGTGATTCCTCTTTCTTTCTCACCAACATGCGTAATTTTTTTTATTTTTCTTTTCTTGCCAACAAACACCATATAGTGTCCCACGTGTGTGGGAGAAGATTGAGGAAAAAATGCGCATTGTGGGTGCCCAGTCCACGGGCCTCAAGAAGAAGATTGCCACCTGGGCCAAGCGCAAAGGCATGGAAGCCTCCATGGCCGATCAGCGCGGCGAACGCCGCCCCTCTGGGTTTGGCCTCGCCAACAAGTATGTTGACACTTTTTCGAAAGCTGCCTGTTGTCCCCGGCATTGACATCAACGCTGCATGGATTACACACACTACACATTGCTCCCACGGAGCTTTAGCTGACCTCACGCTTGGCCTGATGCAACATTGCTAGACTGGTTTTCAAGAAGATTCGCGCCAAGTTGGGCCTTGACCGCTGCCATTTCCTGGCCACGGCAGCTGCACCCATCAGCCGGGAGACGCTCGACTACTTTTTGAGCCTGTACTTGCCCATCATGGAAGTGTACGGCATGAGCGAGAACACGGGCCCGCAAACCGTCAACCGCAGCGGCAATCACACGACAGGCTCTGTGGGTGTGACGATGGCCGGCCTTGAGACCAAGATTGACAACCCCGATGCCAATGGCGATGGCGAAATCTGCATGCGCGGTCGTCACGTCATGAAGGGCTACCTCTTCAATGAGGAGAAGACTCGCGAGACCATTGATGAGGATGGCTGGTTGCACACGGGCGATGTGGGACGCATGGATGACCGAGGCTTTCTCTTCATCACAGGCCGCATCAAGGAAATTATCATCACGGCCGGCGGTGAGAACGTGGCCCCCGTGCCCATCGAGGACACCATGAAGGCGTGCTGCCCGATCCTCAGCAATGTTATGGTCATTGGTGACAAGCGCAAGTTTCTGAGCCAAGTCGTCACGCTCAAGTGCGAGGTGGACGTCGAATCGGGTGAGCCGCTGGACAAGCTGACGGATCAAGTCATCGAGATTCTGAGCTCCATTGGCAGCAGCGCCACCACGGTGAGCGCCGCGCGCGAAGACCCCAAGGTCATCGAGTACATTGATGCCAAGCGCAAGGAGGCCAACAACAAGTCTGTGTCGCGCGCCCAAAACGTGCAAAAGAGCTACATCCTGCCCGTGGACTTTAGCGTGCCTGGTGGTGAACTGGGCCCTACCCTCAAGCTCAAGCGGCCTGTGGTCTACGAAAAGTACAAAGACGTCATCGATGGCCTCTACGCATAACTCGTCTGCGAACCGTTGTCGTAGCTTTTTTTTATTTCCCTTCCTTTCGGTCTTGTGTCCTCTGCCAAAGAGGTATCCAGCCCGCGGTCGCCCGTTGAGTACACGGCGCTCAGGTGTAAATTGATTGCAGCACACATGAATCATGGTTTAAGGTGTAAGGTGAATGTTTAAAGATTGTGTGAGCAAAAGAATCACTCGGAGGAGGGGATCCAAAGGTAATCTTTAGCAAATCCGTCCCTGGAGCCTGACATTCATGCTGAGTATCATAGAAGTTTTGAAACAGATGTCGCAGCGTTTAACACCAAACCCAGCTACGACGCGGTCTGGCGCGTAATCGCCTTCAAAGTGTCAATGATCAATCAGTACAGGCAGGCTTTGACTTACAAGGGGGGTGCCATTACTAGGTTTCATCATCAGTTTTGGAAAAATAAAGCAGAAAAAAAGCAGAGAATTCAGAAAAAAAAGAAAAAAAAAAGGAAAAAAAAAAGGAAAAAAAAAAAGGATAAAGCAAGAATGTATTACCAGAGAGAGAGGGAGAACTAGAGTTCTTTTGGTTTAGGACTCTGGAACGGAGCCTGGAGAACCCAAGCTTGTCCAGAGGGCTAGAGTGTTGCCCAAGGCCCGCGCTACGGCATGAGCATCAACGCCAGCACCAACGGCAGCGGCCAAGTGCAGACCAGCGGGGTCGGTGTGGACCAGGATACTGAGTCCAGTAAAGGCATCAAAGCGCTGGCCCAAGAGGGCCGTTCCAGCAAGGTTGGTGGCACCCAGATTGCTCACTTCAAAGCTGGCACTGGGGGCACCCTCAGCAAAACGCCCTTCCTGTAATGCCAAGGTCTGCACGTAGGCCTCGCCGGCCGCCAGCTGCTCCTGTAACCGGGCATGATACTGGGCGCAGACCGTGTCAAAGACATGGCGTTGAGTGCTGGAAGCAGCATTTTCATCAGCCTTGGGGCTCGCAACGCTCAACTCTGTAGTGATGGAGCTGAGCGCGAGTTGACTGCCAGCGTCAACGTCAGCTGGCAGGTCGGGTCGAACGTCCACCAGGGTTGAGACGGCCAGTGGGCAAGCGGGGGCGTCTGGGTGGTGACTGGCGTACTCGGCCGCAACACCGAGGAGGAGGCCTGCTACCAGACCGACGTTCAGCGTAAAGGGCCCGTTCACGTGGGCTTTGAGGTAAGCTCGGAGGGCTTGACTGGCTTGTGGGTCAAGGCAGCGATGCAAGTTGACACCTCGGGAGTCGGGCGTTGTGCCAAACAGGGCCTGTGCTTTGAGAACTGGTGCCTTTAAAGGCGAGCATTGCAGCGGGTCAGGTAGCAAAGACGACCAGTACGGCCGGAAGGACGGCGGTCCCAGGGCGGATGGCAGGGGTTTGGTCACGGGCGTGCCATCTGTACACAGAGCGGCAACAGCCTCGAGATAGGCTTTGAGAAGGCGACCATCCATGAAAGCATGGTTGGCGTTGAGTAGGAAGCCAACTGCAAGTTTGGAGTCTGTCGTCAACAGGACTTGCACCTTCACGGGTTGCACGGGCCGATCCGTATGAGCTTCTTGTTGAAGCCGGTCGCTGGTCACGGCGGAGCCAGACTGCGACGCCGTCTCTACCCGTGGTACTACCAGGTCTGCCAGTTCCACGGCTGGTTGATCATAAAGAACGAGACTGTGTTGATCCTCACCCAGCTGGAGGTGAGCGGGCAGCCAGTTTCGTGCGGCCGAGCGAAGGGCCGTCCGCAAGGTTTCCGGAGCCACTGGTGCAAGAAGCGTCACATGCGCCAACAAGCGCACATTGGCCCCGATGAAAAGTCGTTCAAAGGCACTCAAGTCCCGGCAATCTAACTTCTGCGCCTCTGCCATCGTGCCCTTGATGCGATCCAGACCTGCCGCCCCACTACAAAGAAGCTCAATCCCACCCACCCAAGCATCGGATCACACTGCGCATAAATTCAGATGCGCGAAAGAGCTTTTCATGTGAGCAGCAAGAAAGAAAGAGAGTGAGGTTGAGAGGAGAAGAGTTTGTGAGAGAGACAGAAAAGGGAGAGAGGTTGAGATACAAAGGGATGAAGAGATTTTGAGAGAATTTGAGAGAATTTGATGAGAGAGTTTGAGAGAGTTTGAGAAGAGAGTTTGAGAGAGGGAGTTTGAGAGAGAGGTTTCCCACACACACACACACAGCAAGAGAAATTGACCGCGTGCTCAGTTCTTGGACTCTCTCTCTCTCTCTCTCTCTCTCTCTCTCTCTCTCTCTCTCTCTCTCTCTCTCTCTCGCGCGCGCTCTGGTCCATCTTCATCTTCATCTTCATCTCCTTGTCGGCGCTTGGCTGGCTGTGCGAGGTGTGCGCGGGGGTGTCGGGTTCCTTGGGCAGCGGGGCTTTGCTTTGCTTCTTGATCTTCTTTGTCGCTTCCTTGAACGGACACATCGGGTCATGGCGCGCGCACGAGCTGGGCGCAAGGCCGGGAGTAAGACTGCGGGCAAAGGCGGCAGCACTGCTTCGGCCATTGCTGTCAAATCGACGAAGCGGACGCGCAAGGCCGTGCAGCCGGTGCCTGATGATGTCGACATGTCTGGTGACGAGGCGGAGGCCACGGCTGAGGTATGGCCTGCTTCTTTCGTCAAAGGCTTGTCCGCGGGCGCTCATCCCTGAGCTGCCTCCTCATCGTGGTTGCTCCTTCAGGCTGGGCTGAGCAAGCGCGATCGCCGCAATCTCAAGCGCGTTCAGTTTATGCGACGTAAGTCGGCAATTGCCATGAAAATCCCGCCGCTGGCAAACCCTCATGCCCGTCTGAACATGCACAGGCGTCAACGAGCACACCCGCGCCGTGACCACTCAGCGACAAAAGCCAAAGGGCAAGAAAGCAGGCATTGCAGGGGACCTCAGCGGTCAGTTGTTGTTTTTGTCTTGCTTATTCATCGTCATTCGGCGTGCCACCACTGACCGCGCTTCTGTGCTATCTTTGCCTTCTCAATCTTACCTTGCTCGTGAACGCAGACTTTTTGGCGGCTCTGAACGATACCACCATGGTCTCTGTCAATTCTTCGCGCAAGGCCGCAGCGCGGCATGCCAAACGCAACGCCGACCCAGCTGCCCTCTACCTGGATCCATCGAAACTTGTCGCCACACGGGCTGGACGCGAGCACACCTTGTATGTGCACATTCGGGTCTCCAAATCGATGGTGGCGTGCTCATGGCCTCGTCCCTCGGGCTAATTGTGTTGCATGTCTCGGTCGTTCTGCGCCATGGTAGGGCCGTGGAAGCGGAGAACATGAAGCAGGTCATGAAGCACCCAACATTTGCAAACAATGGCATCAGCGCGATCCGCCAACATCTGCAAAACACGATCCGGGCTCAACGCGCTGCTGCACAAGAATCGGATCAAGCTTAAGTCAAGCCCCCCTTTTGTATCAGGAGATGGACATGGCTCGCGGGCAGCGCCCTCATCCAGCTCGAGCCATACCGTGCACGGGTCTAGCCTTGTTTTTATACAGCCGTTTGTACTAGTTGTCGCTCTCCCTCTCTTCTCCTTGCCCGTGGTTGTCGTGTGAGTTTGTGGGCTGCCTTGTTGCGGATATTGATTTGCAAATCATGCCTTTGCAAGCTGAGGCCAAAACTCGAGTCATCACGCCGCACCTTCAGCTTCAAAGGCCCTCAAGCGAATGGGGGCCACGCGCGTGGAAAATAACAAAGAGGGGGGTCATCAGAGGGACGAAACTTCTCTCAGTAGCCACTATGCATCAGCGAAGACAAGCAGTCGGTTGAACAATCAGAAGCCCAACGCGCTTCAGACTTTGCGGCGCTTGGGCTCACTATCAGCCGGTGACTCTATCACAGACTTTGGGCTGTCTCGTGAAGCAGACGAGGTGGAGTGCCGTGTCTGCCGGTTCATGGCATCCTGCTTCATCTTATCGTACGTCTCGAACAATGCGTTTCCAATATCTACTCGTCACCACACTCGAGATCAGTTGGTCCGCGAAGCGAGCAACGCCCTGACTTGACCACCGCCCCTGTGCGGTGCATGTCGTTTACAAAAGTCAGCCGAGGCATACGCACCTAAGATGGTTTGTTCTGTCACGCCAGGGATAAAGCGCTGCAGCCAATCCAAGTGTCCACCCTCCCGCGTACGCAGCTGTATTTGAGGATCCGTTCGACGGCACGCCAGGTGAATCATGGCTGCCGCCACCACCTATTCCCCCATTTGACCAGGTCATATTACCACAGTTGGACAAGATCCGATGAACTCTTGGATGACCATTCGGGAATAAAAAGTCAAAACGAAGAAACTGAAAGAAAAAGGCGCACAGCAACAACAAAGCCAGCTGTGGACACAACGTGCAATTGCAACATTCATCAACACTGACCTCGGGTGGGTGCATCAAGCAAAGTGGCATGGTAAAGCTGTATGAGTAGGTAGCAGGCATGAGAAGGGCATCAAGGGCGTAAGATCTGGTGCTGTGCCCAATTGTACATGCTCAATGTGCAATACGGGAAAGGGGGAGGGGGGCGCACCTATCTAATGAAAAAGCGTAGGCTGCCTCAACCACTTCCTTGGGGCATCGCCCTCCTTCAACTGCAACAGAGCCGCAAGGCAAGCCTTAAAATAAGGGGACACACAGGTTGTAGCGACCAGATGACCGTTTGAAACAGGACCAACCCGACTCGAGGCGCTGGGCGAGGTCGAACAAGATTGGGAAGGGGTGGTCGACATGCAAGTCAAACTCGAGCTCTTGAAGGACGAATCGCTCAAATGCCAGTAAGCGCTCGCGCTGCTCCAAATATTGCTGCTTTGGCACACGGGCGCAGCACGCCACCAGAGATGTGTGAGTTGGCAGCGTTGGTGCAGGCGTTGGTTCGGTACAGCCGAGGCGTGCCGACAGGCCAACCTTTTCCGAGTTGTCAAAGGGCTGGCCGGCTCGGCGGGCCTTTAATTGTGCAAAGACGGGAACCACTTGCTTGCAGCGTTTTGGTTGCTCTTCAGCCTTGAGACCGGCGAAGAAGCATCCACCAGCCACGTTCTGCACCATTCAATTCAGGCCACGGGAGGCAAAGGTCGGGCTCGAAGTGAGACTGCGACGTGAGTTGTGAGGCGCTGCATTTCCCGGGTAAGACGAACCCAGCGATTATAGTTTTTGAAAGAATGCTTGACATAGAAGCGATGAAAGAGCCATATGCAGGTGGCGATGGTGTTGGCCGCTCTACGTAGCAATGCCATGTTGAAAGAGGCCACGCAAAACACGATGGCGTGGGACGAGGGGTGAGCTTGCGAGATGGGGCGAGAGAAGCGTTTGAAAGTGGCACCAGGACCAAGAGTTTTGGGTCGGGGAGCCCTGGCTATACGCACGTGATGTCAAGCTCCTGGGCCATTTGGCGAATAAAGACGGCACCCTCGCGGCGATACCGAGCCTCCTTCTCCGCGGAGATGTCATCCCTGCGCGAGGGACTGTCCGCGAGCTGCTCCGCCGCCAACAGCGCACGCGCTGTCGTCATATTGGCATGAGAAAGCTGAACCCCCCACCGACCGGTCTGCGCGCCTCCAGAGCCCCTCCCCCTCCCCTGCTGCAATGCCACTGGCTTCTGATGAGCGTAAACACACACACACACACACACTCACGAGCCTGCGACTCGTGGGTGAGAGTGAGCGAGAGAGTGTGTGTGTCCGAGCAGGAATTTTTTTTTTTTTTTTTGTGAGTTGATAGAGAGAGAGAGTTTGAGAGCGACAGTTTGAAAGAGAGAGAGAGAGTTTGAGAGAGAGAGAGAGAGAGAGCCAGAGCACAGAGCTTTTTGAGAGAGACAGAGCACAAAAAGTTTGAAAGAGAGAGCGAGTTTGAAAGAGTTTGAGAGTTTGAGAGAGTGTGAAAGAGAGTTTGAGAGAGAGTTTGAGAGAGAGTTTGAGAGAGAGTTTGAGAGAGAGTTTGAGAGCGTAATTTTTTAGTCTTTCTCGGCAGTGAACAGCAAAATTTTTTTGGAGAAGTGAGCGGTTTTGATCGATCGATCATTGACTGGCAGGATGTGGCGGCAGACGGCGATGCGGGTGCGTGGGGCTGGGCGTGGGCTCGTGGGAGTGCGAGCGGTGGGGAGCAATGGCTGCTCCGCAGCTGCAGGGGCGCGATGGCTGGCTGCCATGGGTGCAGGTGAGCGGCATCACACCAAGGGGTTCAGTGGCAGCCAGGCTGCGTCCTGGTTGTTCCGCGCTGGGTTGGGTGTGGTTGCGGGCGTCAGTACTTGCGGACTGGTCTATGCCGACGTCACGGATCGCACGACTCTTCTGCGCAATGCCGAGCAGCGGTATGGCACCGATCCCGAGGTATGGCTTTGAATGGCATGGCATGGGTCGCAGCGTAGCCGCTCACTGATGAGCGAATCGGCGCTCACGCGCGCACGTGCGCTCATCTGTTTTTCTTTTTCTTTTTTTTTGCCTCTGCCGCAGGGCATTTATTTGGCGCTGCAGGACGTGGTCAATGATGCCACGCTCCCGGAAGATGAGCTGCAGGGCCAGCTGCTGTGGCACTTTGCCCGGGCCTGCCACGACATGGCGGCTGAACTCAGCAACAAGGAGGAGAAGAAACGCCTGATCTACGAGGGCTACGCTGCCGCCGAGCGGGCTGTCGTCTATGCTCCTCAGGTCAGCGCGGCCCACAAGTGGATGGCCATCATGATCTCTGATGTCGGCGATTTTGAAGGTCTCAAAGCCAAGCTGCTCAAGTCATACACCATGAAGGTGCGTCCGTCCATGACGTGGTACCATCGGTGGCAGCGCCCCAGGAAGCCTTCTCGAGCTTGTCCAATCATCCATAAATTTTGCTTGGATTTGAATTGCAAAACCAGGAACATTTTCAAAAAGCCATCGAGCTCAACCCCAAGGACGCCACCTCCCGTCACCTTTTGGGCGTCTGGTGCTTCTCCTTTGCTGACCTCCCATGGTGTGTTCGATGTTGCAAGCAACAGCCGGGCGTCACTATTTGCCTGAAGCAAACCAAGCAAGTCGTCATCCGGCTCAAATGTTTTGTCTCGCGATGTGCTGTGCAACTGGCTCTATAGGTATCAGCGAAAGGCAGCAGCAGCCGTTTTTGCAACCCCACCCAGTAGCACCTACGAGGAGGCTCTTGCCAACTTTGAGCAGGCCGAAGCCAGTGCGTCGCCACCGGATCGTCTCGTTCAAGGCCCGACGTTGGGATACACTCACCGTGACGGCTCGCTTTACCATACCCGTTTTTTTCTAGCCGAACCTGGGTTTTACACGAAGAATGCCTACTACTTGGGCCTGACGTACGCCCGATTGGGTCGTAAGGAGGAGGCTCGGCGGTATGACGCGACATGGTTTCGATCGAATGCTCCCAGCGTCGTTGTATTTTGTTGCTGCCACCCTCACATCTTGCTGTTTCATCAGCTGGCTGGAGACCTGTCTGGAAATGCCCGCCAACAACGCCGACGACAAGGAGGCACACACCCTGGCTGCAGCTGCGCTCAAGCAAGTTTAAAGGCATTAGCGTGACTGCTCAGAGCCCCCCCGTCTTGCTTTGCGCTTTTTTTTCTCTTTCACTTTTCACGGACTGGAAGCAAACGGACGACCAATGAAGTCACCACGCGCGCGCCCAAAATCAATTTGGTTGTATCACAGTCTGGTTGTTCACCACGCACCTCTCTTGGGATATCACTCGAAAAAAAAGATGCCCCCAGCGTCATCTCGGAGCTGAACAGTGTGGTCCATGGCCCCGACGACTACAGTGCTGGCAAAGGGAGTCGCCGCGACGGCCGAGCCAAACAAGTCGTTGGCAATGCCACCACCGGGGCCGCGCAGCGGCGCGCCTGGGTGGACGAGGCCCATTTCATCGATAAAGAACGTGTAGACGGCTCCCGCCTTGATGGCTCCCTTGGGTGCCGTACTGTATGCACCAACGAGGAGCACGTTGTCAGCAAAGGCCAGCGATATGCCAAACTGCTCGTTGACCATCGGGAAGGGTGAGTACAGCTGGGCATGTTCTTCAAAATGCCCTGTGGCGTTGGTGCGAAAGAGGTAGACGATGCCCGAGTTGTTGCCGTGGTCGTCACGCCCAAAGGCGCCGACAGCCAGGTAGTCGTCGGTGAGAGCCACCGCTATACCAAACTGGTCCCCGGCTTGGGCGTTGGCGGGTGTCAGCTTTTGGAAAAACGTTGTGCCATTGAAGACATATGCGGCTCCCGAAGCCACCCCTGCCTCGTCGGCGCTATGGGCACCCACAGCGAGCCAATTGCGATGAAGATCCACATCGACGCCGAAGCGACCGCCAAGCTGGGGGACGGGGGCCATGATGGTCTGCTCGTACATGTACTCGTCCGTCGCCTCTTCGAGGTGGAACATGTAAACGGCGCCCTCGTTGGCTGTCACAAAGTCGTGACTCCAGGCGCCAGCTGCGAGACGAGGTCCTTCCACGGCGACAGCTACACCCACGGGCGAGGGCAACGACGGGATGAAGTGGGGGGCCTCAATGGTGGAGTGAAGGTTGTATTGGCGAGTGACGGGGTCACGGCGATACACGGTGATTGAGCCGTCCTCAAGACCCAGATCATTGTCCGCCAGGGATCCCACGGCAAGGGTGGCTCCATCCATGTCGGCTGATATACCAAATCGGTATTGGGCGCGTGGGGTTGGTGCACCTTGGGTGCCCACTTGCTCAAGGCTGGTGAGAATCCAGCCACCGTTGAGACGCCGGGCCAAACGATCATTGGTGGCACGACGCCGGGCAAGCTGCTGAAACTGCCATTGCAAGTCCTTCAACTCTTGGACAACGTCGCGCTCCTGCACCATGACATGCCGAGTCGTCGCGTTGTTGGGCATGCCAACCTGCAGATGCCCTGCCGGATCAACGTACAATTGAAACGGCAAACTCTCCCCTTGCACCGGCTTTGCCAACATCAAGGCAAGCAGCAGGGGTGCCCACCGCCATTCCCACCACCCGCAACCCATGATTGACCTCCTCTCCCCTTCTCACGTCCAGGCAAGCAGACACACCCAGGATGCCACAGAGAGAGAGTTTGAGAGAGTGTTAGAGTTTGAGAGAGAGAGAGAGAGTTTGAGAGAGAGAGTTTGAGAGAGAGTTTGAGAGAGTTTGAGAGAGAGTGAGAGAGAGTTTGAGAGAGTTTGAGAGTTTGAGAGTTTGAGAGTTTGAGAAGAGAGAGCGAGTTTGAGAGAGTTCGAGGAAGGACTCAAGAAGATGAGTCACGTTCTATCATTTTCGTACTTTTTGACACTTCTGCTGCTGCTGCTCATCGTCATCATCATCATCATCATCAGTCCTGTCCGGGCGCGCATCAAGACTTCTGTGACAGGCCTTCCCGCGCGCACGCGCGCAGCCTTGTGGACGCGGGGTTTGGGCAGCAGGGGTTGGAGTGTTGGGGGGGCGGTAGTTGGCTTGGCGTGTTTGCCATGGCTCTCTGTGGTCTGGTTTGAAGAAGCGGTGCCTTTTGCACGTGTTTGGTGGCACGGAGGACCCGGCCAGATGGGGAGGGTCGTGGCACGTTGGCCGCTTGGCCGCTCGGATTCCATGCCAATGTTGCTCTTGATGGGGCTTGCACTACTTCACATCAACCTCCCCCGCACCTCGGGTTCAACCTTCTACGTGAGCCAGGCCAACGATACCGGTAAGAGCGACCAAGGTCCTGACGCACCTGGAATGTGGCATGGATGGCCCCGCCTGACTTCTTCGATATACCCTAGGTCAGGTTGGGAGCTGGTCGTGGGCAATAAATCAGGCGCGCCTGGCACCCGAGCCTGAGATACGCATCAGCGTCCCGCAAGTCTACGTAGCTGCCTCCTTCTTAGACAACGCTTTAGACATCGAAGGACTGCATATCGACGGCTCGCTTACCTTGACCGACTGTGCCAATGTGATCTTTCCCGAAGATAACCTGCAGATGTTCAACGTTTCAGCGGATAACATTTACATTCGCTGTCTCACCTTTTACCACACTGGCGTCCAGCTTGCCCCAGCGTCCAATGTGCGCTTGGTTCGCATTGCTGTCTTCCATGCGCCAGGCGTGGGCCTGCACCTCCGTGGTCAGGGTCACGACCTCCATGACATTGGTATCTTTGCTGGCCAGCTCGGGGTGCTGGTGGAAGGCAGTCGACATAATCTCAATTATGTTTCAGTTCTCAGTGTTCTGGGCGTGGGTGTGCAAGTGAGAGGGCAGAACCATGTGTTTGAGTTCCTCAATATTTCTCAGAGCCTTGGCACGGGTCTTGAGGTGATGGGCACCGGACATTACTTTGCCGATCATCGCATCCGGAACGGGGTCGGTCACGGCATTGAGTTGAATTGCCACAATACCACCTTTCAAAGCCTCGCCGTCATCTCCAACGACGGGGACGGGCTGCGTATCGTGAACAGCACGAACATTTTGGTTGACTCTTATGTTTCAAGCGAGAGGAACAACACCTGGTTCAGCTTCAATCTCGGGCTGCAGTTGAATGTTCTTGCGTCAGCACGCAATATCCAAGTGAGCAATAGCATCCTGATCGGCGCACCAGGCGTGCACATTGCTGGGGTCAACGTCAGTCTGTCCACTTCCTACGTCAACGTGAAGAAAGAGCTCGACTTTTTTTGGTTCGTGTCTTCCGAAGTCGGCATCCACGTGACTGCCTCAGCTGTGGATACGCGGATTGTCAATGTCATAGTCTGCAGCATCTTTGGGGTGCTGGTTTCCGGCCGTCACACTGTATTGCAAGGCGTCCACATTGGTGGCACCTTGGACGATGAGGGCACGTTTCTGAATTTCAACATGGAAACGGGGCTTGTCATCGAAGCCACGGCGCACGACGTGGTGGTTCGAGACCTCTACGACGGATACGGCTCATCGTTGATCATTGCTCGCTTTGCTGTCATTTCCTCTGGCACAGACGTCGATCTCACAGCGTCCGCACTCTATAGCAATTTCCGTTCTGGTCGTGCTGACAACGTGCTTTTACGCGTGAGTGGCGGAACACTTCGGTACGGCAGCATGGCGCGGTACGGGGCGTTGGCTGCGATGGCCAGCCTTGCCCAGGACAATCAACTGCCCATACTCTTCTCCATCGTGATTGAGGCGAACGCACAGCTGGTCAACATTACGCGGGTCAATGCACGCGCCAGCTATTGTAACTTGAACGTGAGCAACACGGGGACCTTTGTTCGTGTGGAACCCCACACCCATCCAGCTGCCTCCCGGTTTATATCCGATGTGATTTTGGGAAGCGTGGACTGCGTCCTGGACCTGAGAGGTCCTGCCGTCGTCACAAACATACACCACGACCCTGTTTGCGTCCTTTTACCAAGTGCCATCCGTGTCGTCAATTCGACCATGCCAGAGCCCGTCATCATCGAAAACATTGGTATTTCTTTGTCTCAGATTCAGGTGTTGAACAGCTCAAATGTTCGGCTCAATGACATCAATCCTCAGTCTGTCGAGGGACAGCTTGGCGGCGCCTTGCTTCTGGGCGATGACCCGCTTATATTCATCCGTGACTCCCACAATGTAACGCTGACCAACACCTATTTGTTTGTTGACGCGTCCCAAACTGCACCCCGGCGCCGGCGCTGGGGTGGTGTCGTACTCGGGCAAAAGGACGAGCATGGGCTCTTGAAGCGTGGTTACAGTCAGTCACCGGTCGTTATTGTGCGTAATAGCGTCTCCACCACCATTTCCGACTGTACCGTCATCAGCAGTATGGCACAAGCGCCACTTTTCTGGTTAGTGGATGTCGACGATTGTGTGTTGCAGTCAAACGTCATCTCGAACAGCTCCGATTCAGACCCTCTGCCCAGCAGCCATTTTAGCGCGCTGGGCGTGGACGGCAACTCCACCAACGTGATAGTTGTCAATAACACCCTGGCCTATGGTAGCCCCCTTGTTGCCCTCTGGTCAGCGCGTGGCGTTTTTGTGCAAGGAAACAGTTTGCTGGGCGGTGACAGGCTCGATGGTATTGTTGTGGAATCGGCCGTTGAACATGTGCAGATTGGTCTGCCCCCCAATGGCAGCACAGCTTTGTGGGACACGATGGCCTCTGATTGGGGTGCAAACCCCAACATGTTCTCGTCATGCGTGCGCGGCGTGGTCGTCAAAGGCTCTGACGTGGCCATTCACAGCAACTTTCTCCAGTGGGCTTGGGTCGGTGTGGAGGTGGCGGCCACGGCAAACCGAGTAGCCATCGGCGGAGCAACCCCACTAGGCAACTGTTTCCAGGACTGTCGCATTGCCCTCCAGTCCTCTGGGTCTGATGTCGTGTTTGCATCCAACGTAGTTTTGCGCTATGATGCGTGCGTCCCCTGGTGACCGCTATTGCTTCTCTGTCAAGCGTTGATTTGAGTGCTATGCCTGTATCATCTCACTCGCCTCATTGCTTGATAGAACTCATGAGTACCCCATGACGGTCCTGCTGCTGCCCACCACATCGGATGGCCTTTCTTTGAACATACCAACTGCCAGTGGCCCTTGGACCCAGCCCAGCGTCAGCACCAGTGCTTTTGTTCTGGGTCGTGGGGACCCCGTCGTGACTTCTTTTGACGGTGCTATGGTTCGAACTTGGTCAGATCAGGGCGTATCTACAGCCAACCAGCTACTTGTGACGCGTTGGATAACGTTGTCCATGGACAGTCTATACCCTGATCTGACATCAGTGCTACCTCAGTTTAGCTTCGTGACAAGTATTCCCGCTAATGTAGAGGCCACGGTTGCTGGGCGCTTTGGCCTGGCCATTAATCTTCTTCTGACGTCGACCTATCCCATCGGGATTCCATTGGCAGCGAATATGAAGGTGGCCTCCTTTTATCGTGTGGCTAATGGGCAATACGAAGGCGCAACCAGCGGGCCTGTTGCTGTGACCCTTGTGTCATCGCTTCTGCCCACTGAGGGGTCCTCCTCCACAACAACAACAATAACGGCGCCTAACAGCACCAACTTGCCCGTGGTGACGACAGAGCGCTCACTCCCCACTGTGCCAGTCAACGGCACGCAAATGAGCGTCACCATCAACACACAGACTTTGGGCATCACAGACGTGCTGACACCTGTCATCATCGTGTTCATTATCAATGGGTCGTCAAGTCTTGTGACAGAACCCATCACTTTGTTTGAGACCGATGCCACTGTGACCAGCACAACTATGCCAACCACAACAACTTCAACGTCTGTGTCAACTTTGAATTTCACCACCCCTGTACCATCCACGACTGCAGGCACAGCACTGGTGCAAGGAGCTAAAGCGCCTTTGGCCCCGGGTCTCGTGGTGGGTTTGGCCGTGGCAGTTTTAGTTGCACTCACATTGATTGGAGTCTTCCTCTATCGACGCCGTCGCACGGCTCGAGGCAACAAGGCCATGTTGCCACCTGAGGTCGCGTTGGCGGCACAGAAGCGCGTTGCAGAATTGCTGGGGTTCGGTCCTTCAAAGCTGGCACCGCTCCAGGACGCAATGCGCCCGTTGATTTGGGATGCTGCTGATGTCACCCTCGAGTCCGCTATCGGGGCTGGTAACTTTGGCATCGTTTATAAGGTAAGTCTTCGACTGCGTTTGATGAGAATTGCAGACTTTTTTTTTTTTTTTTTTTGTGGCAACATGAATCACGCACCCTGATGTGCGACCTGTGTGATGATGCCAGGGTAAGCTACGTGGGCGTGATGAATGGCTCGCTATCAAGCAGCCTCATTCTGAGAATCCCGATGAGCTCGACTTGGTGAGTTCGAGCATACGCCCGACCATGGCACATCGCCCAGCATCAACAGGCAACCTCTCAAGCACTCACTTTACACATCATCATTCTGTGCTTTGCACGCCCAAAAGGTTTCCAAGGATCTGTTAGTTGAAGCCTACCTCCTGCTGTATGCTGGAGAACACCCCCACGTTGTTACTCTGTATGGCTGCGTGGCCATGACGTAAGTTGCGCGCCTTGCTCGTACCGCTGCTGCGCTGGCAATCCATGTCTGCTTTTCCAATTAATGATCGCATCCATTCTCTAAATCCGACTTGACAGAGGAGGGCTTGTGGCGATGGTGATGGAAATGGCACCCCATGGCGACCTGCGCATGCTCCTACGTCAAGGCGCCAAGGGGCAGTCCTTGACAGTTTTTGACAAAATGGAGGCCGTGGCACAGCTTGCACAGGGCTTGAGCCACTTGCATGCCAAGCACATTGTTCATCGTGTATGTGCCGCCTCAAAGCTATTTACGTGCTCTGACATTGTGATCACTGTGACTGCCTTGATTTCAATCTGCTTCAAAGCTGCACTCTATGATCTTTCTTATTCTGGGACGCATATCCAACGTATGGTTGTAGGACGTAGCATGTCGCAATACGTTGGTCATGTCTCTACAGCCGCTTCGGATTGCAATCAGTGACCTGGGATTGGCACGAACTGTTCGTGAACAGGTCTACTATAAACAGGTGTGTGCGCATGCATGTATGTCCAGGCAATCGTTTAGCGTTTTTGTAGCGCAAAAGCAAACACGTCTTGTTTGACGTGCCTACTTGGTCGATCGATGTTCAGACGTCCAAAGTCGCTTTGCCTTTTGCTTGGATGGCACCGGAGTCACTCGTACATCGGCGATTCTCGCCCGCCTCAGATGCTTGGTACGTGCACTTGCTGTCGTCCCTCCACCCACTCATTCATCAAGTCCCGCAGCCCCTTCCAAACACGCACAGTTGGCTTGGGGTCAGTCATTCACTTGCTTTTGGGGTTTTCTTGGGCGAACAGGAGCTTGGGGATGACTGCCTGGGAGATTTTTGCCAACGGCCAACGGCCCTGGGAGGGCAAGGGGCCCGAAGCGATAATGCTGGCTCTGCAACGGGGTGAGCGGCCAGTCTTGCAAGCAGACATGCCACCACAACTTCAACGGTTGGTCTGGCGCAGATATCAGCACGCAAAATCCGAGCCCGGCTGCTTTTTTGGTGGAAAGAGTTTTATTCTTCTTTGCTTCCAAATTTAACGTTTGGGGCATTTGTTGCTGTTGACAGGGTGGTACGTAGTGTCTGGGAGCGCGAGCCAATTAAACGGGGGCCGATCGACGCCTTTAATTTGCGCAGCGAGCGGGCTGCGGCCATACCGGTCTGGGACGTGGACGCGTCAGCGTTGGTGGTGAGTTTTGATCTCAGGGTCACGAGATGGTAGATATTTGACTGTGCTAAATGGTTGCTGTGTTGATATGCGCTGTCTTCAACAGGAGAGTCAACTGTAAACAAGCTGGCTAGCGTGGTTGTGTGAGCGTAAATCTCCACGCTTCCCTTTCAGCTGCACTGCTATCGATTTAGATGTTATTTAAAATTTTATTCTTAGCTTCGACTGACGCAAAAGTCAAAGTGGACCAAAGAACCGTAATTGATGATAGCTCAACTCCGTTTGGGTGTGCACCATGCTGCGCACTTTGCTCAAGTGAATACAGCAGCCACACATGTTATGCCGGGGCACTCAGATTCAACGACCGCCTTTTTCTTCTTCTGTCTGATTTGTTGCTTCTGATGCACGAGATGGGTCCTTTGGAAGCGGACTTGTCATCTGTGCACCGTTGACATCCAAACGGGTGATTTGTTTGCGGTGGGTGGTGGCGGAAATACGCCTGACGTCAAGCTGAAAAGGCCCGTCAGTTTGATCGGCAAGCAGGAAGCCGATGGTTCGGATCCTCTCATGGGAAAGCAGCGTTTGTTCATTCTGAACGTAGCCCATGTGCGTCAGCAGAAAGTCAGCTAGCGGGATCTAGTGTCCAGGCCATCCGCGCCCGTGAGTGTGTCATGCTGCAGGTGGGTACATGACCTGAGAGCTCAGGAAAGCGCCACTTCGGAGCGTACCTGCACCGTTTGCCAATGAGGCCCGCCCCGGGTATACAAGAAAGCTTGGTAAAGGTCCTCGTCGTGGAGTGAGGATGACTGCAAATTGATAATGTAAGGACGGCCATCGCCGCGCACCTCAAATTCGAGCGTATTGGTGTCCCCAATATCCAGATACGGACTGTCAATTCGACGCATCTACACCGGGGCACGAAGCCAAGGCGCAGGAGCATGAGCAAAAGCTGGTGTGTGTGTGTGTGTGTGTGTGTGTGTGTGTGTTTGTGCAGAACGCGTGAATGAAAAACGAATGAACGAGTCAAAGCGGGCTGGGGGCTTGAACAAGTACAAAGACAGACCTGCTGAGAGCGCGAGCGCAACAGCGCAAAGCCACTACGTTCCATTTTGGAGCCTTCGGGAATGGTTGTTGACAGGTGTCCTTTGAATCTTGCAAAGCCATCCGGGTGGTGTTCCACTCTAACAAAAACGAGCATGGTTCAAGTGAGGTTGGAAACACGGCAGGTGTGGATATCACCACAAGCGGTATATCAGTCACCTACTGTGCTTCGCTAAAGCCCCCAAAAAAGTCCTTGTCCGTGGCGACCATAAACTTTTTGAGCGTCTCAGGGAGGGTCAAATCGAAGAGCACACGATGACCCGTATTGGCCGTCAAGGCATCCGCCTTGAAAAAACGTTGTAAAAGCTTCAACATGCTATCTGTATGCTGTCTGCCACCGTCCCCAAGTCTCCCCAAGTCGGAGCCAGACCTGCCACCACCTCGAACACACGAGAGAGAGAGAGCGCGAGAGAGAGAGAGCGAGAGAGAGCGAGAGAGCGAGAGAGAGCAAAAAAGCGAGAGAACTTGAATTGAATAATTGTGTGTGTGTGTGTGTGTGTGTGTGTGTGTGTGTGTGTGTGTGTGTGTGTGTTAACATACGTGTAAGCGATACTGAGACAAGTATCACACTTCCACCTGGACTCATGACAACAAAATTTCTCAAAAAAACGGATTTTTTGTTGATTTTTTTCACTAAGTCTTGTTTTTTCGATCTCTCTCTCTGTGTCTCTCTTCGTCTCTCTCTGTCTCTCTCTGTCTGTCTCTCTGTGTCTGTGCAGATACAGGACTTGGTCCAGAGGCACACCGGAGGCCCAGGGTGGAAGTAGACTTGGCCATACAGCGATACTGCACGAGGTGTATTGTCCGGAGGCAGTTCAAAAGTTGGACCAACGCCTCACCCCCGGCTATTTTTTCCAGCGAATGGGGAGGTGCAGAAAGCCTGGGTCATACTTATGGTGACAGCATCACCACCATGGCCGAGGGCTCGGGGCGACCCGAGCGGGACGTGGAGGTGGTGCCGCAGTTGCAGCGTCTGATCACGCCTGAACCCCACGTTCGACCTGGCTCTGGAGCTCGGCGAGTGCGTGTTCATCCTCGTCCCTCGCAAGACTCGGCCACGGGTCGCTCCTCGCGTGCTGAGGGCACCGCAGCTCCGCCACGCAGCCCTTGGTCGCGTGCCCAGGAGCTGATGCATCTAGTCAACTCACGTGCGGACCGACGAGGGCTGCTCGAGGCGGACGAGTCGGACGATGACCTTTCCGACGATGTTCTCGCTGTCTCCAATGCTGACCTGACTCGCCAGCTCAGCGAGCTTCAGGCTGAGCTCTCGGCACAGGACACCGATAGCCTAAACATCTCTGGCGAAGACGGCATTGCAACAAGCCCAGATTGCGAGCTCTTGGATGCGAGTGCCCGGCATACCAGTCCCGTACCTAATGGCAATGGTACCGAATCACATCCTACGCGCACCTCCGTTCAAGTCTCGGGCAGAACTTCGCTGGCCGGCGCAGAGCCACCCAGTCTCACTGCCCACGTGAGCCAGACCGCCAAGACCACCGCGCAAGGATCATCGGCTGACCTTCTCAACGCGTATCAGCAGGGCCACGAGAACGCCGAGGTCAATGTCCGTCTGGATGAGGCGGAATGGGACGCTCGGTATATGCGCGCAGCCTATTGGCTGCACGATGCCATCAACGGGCATGACAAGCATGGCCTTATGGCCATGAGTGAGCGCGGTCGGCCTTTTGTACTTCTCTTCACCATGCGCAATCACCAAGCCGCCCGCATCATCTTCACGCTGACCGTGCTACTGCACACTGCCTTGGTCTGGATTGAAGAAGACCACCGTGCAGCTAGCCTGGCCCTGGCGCCCTTGGCCATTGCCATTTATTGTGTCGATGCTGCCATCAAGGTGTACCTCATGGGTGGATGGATATTTCTCAGCAAGAAGTGGAATCGTTACCTTGCCTTGCTCATCGTCTTTTTCATCACCGATTACATTTGCTACTGCAGCAACGTTGTCCAGGCTTTCCGTCTGCTGCGGCCCTGGATCCTGTTGACGCGCGAGCGGGAAATTCGACGGTTGTTCCAGGCTTTGGCCAGCAGAGCGTTTGTCATGCCCGTCCTCCGCCTGATGGTGGGCATCTTTTTCTTCGTCCTCCTCTTCAGCGCCATGGGCGTGCATCTCTTTCGAGGGTATTACAGCACGCTTTGCGCCGACACCGACGACCCTGAGTTGCAGGGTGCCTTTGACAACGTTCTCATCGCAATGGTGCACATGTTCACTCTCAGTACGGGTCCATTCCGCGCTATTTCCTCTCTTACAGCTCATGCAGCTGAGCAATCGCACACAAAGGAGCACTCCGTAGCGGCTCTTACGAATCGCGCTTGTGTATGCTTTGTCTCTCATAGTGACGACCGAGAACTATCCCGATATCATGCTCCCTGCTTGGCTTCGCCATTGGGAGAGTTTTATATTTTTTGGCATCTTTATTGGTCTTGGTGTTTTCTTGATCGTTCCCATGACCCTGGCCGTGGTAACTGACTCCTACTGGACCTCGGCTGGCCTGCAGGCAGGTGCATGCGCCTTTCAGCCGTCTCTCTCCGCCCGCCCAATTGTGCTATGCTAATAGCCGCGTTCCTATGCCGCCATCAGTACAAGAAAGATCGTCGAAAAGAACGCATCGCGCTTGTGCGCGCCTTCAATGAACTCGACCCGGATGGCAACGGTACCATTGGCTTTATCGAGTGGCAGGGCCTGATGCAAGTGCGTGATTTAATGCTCCCGGCGCATATGGCCATGATCAACTGCAAGGGCTCGTGCCTTGCCCGGCCTCACTGTTTTGCCTTCATCCACGTTACCAGAAATATCGATCAGACTTGACTCCCAAAGGATGCTTCAAGCTGTTTCAGCTTATCAGCCGCGCACCTCACCGGGTTCGCTACCTTCTGTGCCATTTTGAAGCCCTGGGCTACCTGGCTCGTGCAATTGCCTAATTTTGGTCTCTGGCTACAGGAGGTGAAAACGATTGAGTTTTTAAACGCNGCGTAAAGTTGTCGACCGTAAACTGACCGTCATGCGCTCCTCCATAACAGACGTAC